CGTGAAACAGTTTCAATTTGGTTTCCTTCCTTATCTTCAATAATTATCCCACGTGTTTAATAAATTATAGCTTGGTTCCTTAATTTATTGATGTACTCGAAAGTCGCAAATTGTCTCCAAATTTAAAAAAGACTATATTTAGTAATGGAATTTTAAGATATATATATATGAAATTTTAAAAATTTGTTTATGAGTGTGAGAATGGAAGAGTTTGTTTATGGGATTTGGTCTTTTTTCCAATGCTTCGTTGACTTGTTTACATATTTTTGGATGTGATTAGATTGGTTAGAAGTCTGCAATTTGAACAGAAAATATGCTCTCAGAATGCAAACAAAAGACACTTGGCAACTTTTGATTGGACAATGGTAAAAAAAAAGACAGACCAATCAGATGCTGGAAAAATTCGGTTCGTTATATGGTTGGTAAGGAGCCTGTTTTTTCGAGGAAGCTTCGTTCTTTTTCAGGATATCAAAGACATGGTTTCTTCCTTTTTTGGAATCTAGAAACTGCATTAAAAAATGCTCAAAAGTATTTCGTTATAGATATATCATTGCAGCAGACGGAAGCATAGCCACTTAAAAGTCAGTTTTTGATTATAATTCATAGAAAATAATATTTTTCTAAAATATTAATTATAATGTTGTGCAATTTCAAAAGCAACAAAACGATATATTATCAGGCCCGTGTTTGGCACCTATTAAATTTTAATTCATTTTTCTCTTTCCTCTTATCAACCAAATATTCTCTCAATAAAATAATATTACACATAAACCCAAAAATTATCCTTACTTTTTAACCATACATTCTTTAAAAAATACTATTCCAAAATCAATTTTTTTTTTTTCAAATAATGGAGTTGCTAAAAAAATAATCATCTTAAAGATACAAAGAGTATTTAATAATCATCATAAATGTATATCTTACAGAAAAGATAGAGCAAAGAGTACGTGATTGACTTGAATTCATTAACGAAAAAAGGTAGATATATTAACGTGAAATTTGCATTTTCTCATTAACGTGAATTGACTTGATGCAAACGGATATAAATCCAGACATGCACTTGCTAAAGGAAAAAATAATCATTACACACATTAACCCTATGAATGAATTGATTTAATTCATTATTAAACCATGAAAATTGAATATGGACGTGAATGAGTGATCCTAAATTAACGGATATGCAGCAAAAATTAACAGAGATGAATACAGATGGTTATGCCAACATGAAAATTGATTACAAAATTGATTAAAATGTGTAATTTGTGTGACATTTCAGTGTACACACAGCAAAATCCTTTGTGTAATTTATCCTCACATGTCATCCTGAAACATTAAAATTGATACATGGATATTCTGGAATGATAACATGTAGGGTAATCATGAATATTCTTGGAGTTGATGCAACCTTTTACATGATTACGGATATGAAAACAGGATTAGTCAAAAATAATGTATATGGTTTGAAGGGATATATTTATAGTCGCTTATTATGACAATCATCCTATGTAATATACACATGACAAGTGATTATTTGATATACGAGTCAATAAAAAGCTACCACATTAATGATCAAATATGTATGCCACGTAGAGCGATTGTGAATAACATTACTCGATTTGAAAGAAAACTCTTTGCATGCTATTAAAAAAGTTTCACTACAACAAAAATAGCCTACGAAAACGTTCAAAAAACATTGCCAAAGACCTTTTGCAACGTTTGGACGTGTGTTACAAATCGAGGTGTTGTCGTAGAGTAAGACCCCTATGGCAACGTTTTAAAAAAACGTTGCCGGTAGGTCAACGACAACGTTTTAAACATTACGGTAGGACCCCTATGGCAATGTTTAATAAACGTTGCCATAGGTGTGTGTGTATGTGTGTTTTTTTTTTTTTTTT